AAAATATTTAAATTTATCAAATTTAATAATTAAATTAATAAATATTTTAAAAAAATATCAATTATTTTTTATTATTAAGAAAAATAAGGTGGACCGCACACGATCCGACCTAGTACATAATGCCAAAGCCTAAATCGTATCCCTAATACCACGCCGAAACAGCCTGAGCCCATAGAAATCCCACATGGGTCTGGTAAGCAGAAAGGTCAAGCCCATCACGTTTCGAACGCACCACTCGTGTCATTATGCGAAGGTACATGGGTTATATTTAGTTTATATATATATATAGATTAGTATTTATCTGTTTTATTTTTAAAAAGTTAAAAAAAAAATTATTATTTTAATATATAATTTAAAAATAAAGTAATTTAATTTTTTTTAATAAAAATTTATTAAAACGACGTAATTTAGGATGATTTTTCTCATAATTTTTAAAAAGTAAAGTTGATAGATACTTTTTTCATATATATATATAGAAAAGTAAAATTTGAATTCCACGTCTGTTAAGTTTAGTATAAAATTTTTTTTATAATGTGAAGTTTAGTATAAGAAATTTTTTATAATGTGAAGATATATAGGGTGGTGGTGACCACGAGGACTTTCTCGAGTTATATTTCGTTTAATTATTAAAAATTAATAAGTATTTATAATTGTTAGTTAATATGAGTGATAGTTAATAAAAATAGTTAATATTTACTTATTTAAGTTTTATTTGTTTGTATTGTATTATAATTATAGGTTTTTTTTATTAATGACTTTTTTATCCAAGTGAAAAAAATTTAATTCTTTGTAAATAAAATCTGATATATAGGGTGGTGACCATGAGGACTTTCTCGAGTTATATTTCGTTTAATTATTAAAAATTAATAAATACTTATAATTGTTAGTTAATATGAGTGATAGTTAATAAAAATAGTTAATATTTACTTATTTAAGTTTTATTTGTTTGTATTGTATTATAATTATAAGTTTTTTTATTAATGACTTTTTTATCCAAGTGAAAAAAATTTAATTCTTTGTAAATAAAATCTGATATAATCTAACTCTAAATTAACTAAAATTTAATATAATTTTTAGATATTAATATATTAATAAAAAAACAAAAAAAATTAAAAAAATTAAAAGTTAAAAATTAAAATTTTATATTTTAAATAAAATATTAAATGAAAAAATTATTAAAAAAAAAACATCGAACAAATAAAGCCTTAATAGTTTAAAATTAGCTTATAAGTCTTTTTTAAATACTTAAATGATATTTCCAAACAAGTAATCAATCAAACCAAACTGACCCATAAATCCCATTTGGTAGACATATCTTCTTTGAGATTCTAAATCCGATAACACATCCTATTGCTTTCCTCCCATAATCAACGCCACCGTCTTCCGCATGTTATTGTTGTTCCCCGAGTAAATCTCTAAATCCCTAATCCCTTGCCGAAACATTAGGGATCGAAGAACACGATACCAAATTGATTTTGTATGGAAATAGCAACCAACATTATTAACAAAGGAAAGAACTATTTCTGAGAATGTAATTGTAAATTAAAACACCAATTTTCCAACCAAACAAACAAAAGGGGAAGGGTCGTGTTGGGTGGTGTTATAAAGATAATATTTTAGTATTATTTTTTTATATTATTTTTATATATCATTAAATGAGTGAATGTATTAAATATTACAAGTCTCGTATGAATTAAAAAAGTTAATTATTTAAATAATACATTAGGTTGCAAAAAAAATGATATGAAAAGGTTATTTTAAAATTATTTGTTGAGTGGTATTATAGAGACAATTTTTTTATATATATTTTTATATAATTTTTATATGTTATTAAATAAGTGAACATATTTAATATCACGGATTTTATAAAAATAAAAAAAATTAATTATTTAAATAATATCTCAAATTATATTAAAATGTAATACTAAAAATTTATCTCAAAATCATTTTTTGAATGCTAATTAGTGTCAAAGAAATGTCAATAATTTAAATAATTTAATAATAATTTTTTTAATTAAAAATAAATGAAATTTAAATTTAAATCATATAATATATAAATAAAATAAATTAAAAATTAAAAAATTATTTTTTATTATATAATTTAAAATTTAAAAATTAGTGCAAGGTAAACTTTCATGAAAAAAACCAATGCTAAAATAGTCTGCTATTCTCTGCCGCGTTGTACTTGAATCATAAATAGAGTAAGTTTGAAACCTGACACAAGTATCATGTGTTTCACCTAATGCAGTGCGGTGGTGATACGAAATTTTCACATCAATATCCTTCCGTGCCACAATTTGGCTTGTAAGTTGGGAAAGCTTTTGGTGCAAGTAAATGTAAACAAATTGATCAAAACATTCCAAATTTAGTATCAAAAATTGACATTCAACAAAGAACAACCAGGCCTGAAAGTGAAACATCATAATTATTTTAAAGATTTTTATTATTTTTTTTAATTTCTTTTACAGTTTGGCGCCCGACGAACACGCTCATTAATGATTAACATTGTACAATTTTTTAATACATTAAAAATTAACTATTTAACATCCTAAAAAAATCTCCTTTCTCCCAAAATTACACACTGTTAAAAAAAAAAATCTCTTGTACTAACTTTAAATTAAAAGTTGTTAGATTAATAAATAACAACTTAACTCTTAATTTTTTTTAAAATTTTATAAATAAAATCTTTCATAGTATTTTTTTTATTCATAAAATTTAACTTTAAAATTTTATTTATTTTTTTATTTACAAAATTTAAATTTAAGGAAGTAAATTCTTTTCCTTCGACCAATGGGTTTGTTGGTACAACACAGCTCTTTTTGGTTAAGATTGTGTAGTCTCTTACAAATCCTGGATATTTTCAATATATGGGTGGACGGGTCGGATAACCCGAGAACTTGTTTTACCCGAACTGATGAGAGGTCGCATGGGCATGTAGCAATAGCAAGCTTGTATGGGTTGTTCACTTGTTTGCACCGGAAATCATTTGGGCTCACCCAGATTTGCAGGAGCCCAGAGGGGAAATTGCATCTTCCTCCAGGCTCCAGTTGCCTTGCATCAAAAAAATCCATAAGCGTAATTTCTCAGGCTCAGGCCCTCTAGTGGCTGGGTTGCCTAGTGGTGGACTCATTACGCTCTGAGCCCATACAAAAGACAGTAAGCCCATCTAAGTGGCCCACTACTTCAATCACAATTGGACTCAGTGTACCGGGTCGGTTTCATTCACGCCCGACTTCTAAGGAAGATTCCTAGAAACCAAACAGAAAAGTCAAAACTCACTGTAGCGACAATGACAAACGCAATATATAATAAGTTAATAACTCCCAACAATAATACATTAATCACAGAATCCAAAGTCAAGATCTATTTCGAAGTTCAGCCGAGGAAATGGGGCTGTTCACGCTCACCGCCGCAGGCGGTGGCTTCATCCTGATCGGCGGTTCTGAATTTCTCGGCTCGTTGAATTTGACCCAGAATTCTGACCCCTCTTCACCTCCCAACCAGACAATCAAAACAGACCCAGTAACCTCTTCGTTGTCTTTCGTCTTCATCTCGATCTTTTCCTGTCTGGTCTTCTTCGACTCTCTGGTTTCGATCTCTGACGCTTTCAGTTCGAAGGACGGGGTCGGGTCGACTTTGCAGTTACAAGTACTGGCTATTTCTATGCTTTTCTTTCTTTATTCCCTCTTGGGTCTGTTCGGCGATTTCAAGAATTCGTTTTCTTTGCATTCGTCGATTCTGGATTTGGTTCTGCTTTTTGCATTTGTGGAAGAATTCTTGTTGTTTTACTTGCAAAGGAAGGACCCCAGTGGGATTGAGAATCGGTATTTTGATCTGTTGCTTGTGCCCATTTTGATTTGTGTGGTTTCTACAGTGCTTGAGTTGAGATCAAAGAAATCGAATTTCCCAAGATTGATTCGTGGGGTTGGGTTAATTTTGCATGGGACATGGTTTGTCCAAATGGGTTTATCTTTCTACACTAGTATGATGGCTTATGGATGCTCTTTGCATGAGAAAAGTAGAGCGAATTATACTGTGAAGTGTAAGGGACACTCTGAATATCACAGAGGAAGAGCAATTGCTACTCTGCAGTTTAACTGCCATCTTGCGTTGCTTGTGGTTTTTGTTGTTAGTTTGTATTCAATTATGGTTAAAAGGAATGGTCTTCGCCAGGATTTCACGCAGTATAGGCCTTTAGGTGAAGAAATGCGGCAGATGGAGAATGTGGAGCATTTCACTTTGGAATCTGATGAAGATCTTGATAATGGAATTAAAGAAGAAGAGGATTTGGAAAAAGAGAAGGCGACTGACGTGGCACTGAATGTCAATGGCCATGCTTCTTATTAGTGAGGTAAAATCTAGTTGCTTCTTTTGAAGTGATTTTTTAGGTACTACAGTTAACTTACAATGCCGTTAGAGGAACTGCTGATTGCCTTTGTATAAATGAAAAATGAGCTGTAGATTTGCATCTACTTCTATGAGATTCATTTATCTCATGAGGTTAAATATAAAGAGATATGGAGACTTTTTGTTGTTGTTCTATCTGATATTTCTGAATGGATTTTGTTGTTCCAGTTTAGTGGTGGCATCCATTGTTTTCTGGTTATCAAAGTGTTTTATGCAATTAGAGTTCATTTTGTTTGAAAAATAGTTGAACCTTTTCTGATTGTATAACTCAATTCATTAATAATTTGTTAGGATAGTTGGTAGTTTACATGGGCATTTTTACTTGGATGAATTTGCCTAGTGTGCCAACTCAACAATGTGCTAAGAATAATAGCAAAATGTACCAATTCTAATTTTCTAGCTGAGAAACAAATGAAAATCTCCAAAATGTCTTACATCCAACGTGGTCATATGGTAAATCTAGCTGCTGTATGCAGCAGCAGTTGGGCACGCTTTTCATTTCCATTATACTCCTGCATTTCTCCAATTTTTTTTATTTTTTTTTATTTATTCTTGTTGGATATCATTTATTTATCTGCTTTTACACGTTATATGTGTCTTGTATTCCTCTCGAAAGCAGCTCTTTCTTTCCAAGTTTAATACCAAGGAAAGGTTAGTTAATGACTTGCAGACAAGTCATTTGTTTGCATTTCTGAAGAATATTGTAGGCTTAAAAAGTTCAGTGTCATATTTAGGAGTGGGTATTAAACTCTTTATTTTGCGTGCTTCTGTTAATTGCTCTTCAGTAATTTGTGTGAAATGTAATGCTGGTTCTCTCCATGGCTTCATTAATTCTTATTATTCCTCATGCTGTTACAAAGTCATAAATTACAAAGCATTCATGCTTTTCAAAATGATTATTTGCTTTCAGAGAATATATATGATTTTATCAAATGGGAAACCATAGGTAATGACCTTGAATCATTTCAATGTTCTTAAAACTGGAACTTCTGGCACGAGAGGTATTGTTCTGTTGCTGGTGAATCTATGCTAAATTTCAGGGAGCTTTTAGGTGCCTGACATCATTGTTATTTCTGGTTTTAGCCGTTTAGATGGTATTTACCCTGCTACCTAGGAAAGAACAGTCACATTTTATCTTAGGTGGTTGCTACTGTTAAGCTATAGCACCTACCTGAAATGTGGATGTCCTAAACACTCCTGAAACGGTTGGAACTAGGCTTCTGTATAACAAAATAAAGAAGCCAAAAAGTTTAGGATAATGGTTAATGTAGGATGGTTTACTGATATCAAAAATCCTTTAGGTCTTTTCAGAGTAATGTTCAGCGAAAGTGTGATCAACCGGCCATACATCTCTGTCTGAGGGGCATTCTATGCTGTTGCATGGGATGAAAATTTTTTTTTTTTTTAATTAGGTTCACGTATGAATTTGTTTCAGAAATGGAAAGTTGGGAACTGATTCTGTTTATCTTACCAAATCTGAGCTAATGAGGTATCCAACAAATTCATGGCATCCTGCTCTTCTCTTTCCCTTGTTCTCCTTTTTCCTTTTTTTTTTTTTTTTTTTACTAATCTCTTTGTTATCCCAAAAAATCTCCTTGACACGTGGCAGATGAAATGACGTGCCACTTGCTTTGCTCAAAACAAGAAAGATTTCTCCGACGACCCTCTATTCTTTCCAAGCGTAGAACTCAGCTTGTGAGTTGATGGAAGAACGTCATAATTGCGCTTTAAAGATCAAACGATTGGCAGAAACAAGAGATGAACTTCCTGCACTAAATAGGTTATACAGCAAAATGCCCTGGGTATGATTCCAGGGACTCCTCAAAGCTAATGTAATTAAGAAAAGTTAAGACTGCAAAGAAAATAAATGATCGCTAAACTACTGAAAATCTAAATGAATTTTAAATACGCAAACTGAATTGAAACAGAGCTTTAAAAGGAAATTTAATGGCAGCAAAAGTAAATTAAGTTAAAGTAAATAAAGCCCGAAGCATGAAAAATCTACTGGCAGCATGAAATGTAAATTAACAGAAATGGAATTGAATATGAAATTAAATGTCGACATCATTTGATTAAATTAAAAGAAATCTGGAAAACGAATATAAAGGAAAGGCAGCAATTCGATTACAAAGAAATATAACTGAAGGCAATGAAACTCACCATTACAAATTCGACAAAAGAAGAATCGAATTGCTAAAGTAATCTAGGTTGAAGCGTAGAGCTAAAATTAAATTAAAGGGCTTGAAACTAAAATGAATTTGAGTATAAAGAGAAATTGTGCTGAGTTTGTTGTGTGAGATGTCGATCCTTTGCTTGATCTTATCATTATGTATTTATAGCACCTTGGCAGCACGGTGGAGATCTGCGGCAGTATCCTGAAAGACCAACGGCAGCGTAATATCTACAACAAATTGATTAATTTGTTGGTACTGCGATTCTTCTCCTGAAAGCTCGCAACAAAAGAACGGTTTTGCTGCCATTGTGGAAATAACCACTCAATCTCATCTGAAGAAATCCACATCAACTTTCAACTAATAAAATATCTGCCATCATGGGTGACACATGGCAGTACTCCATTTGTTGTAAAATTAGGTATAAACACTTTTGATATTCGATAACCGCATTAAGTTCTGATTAATTCAGAATCGAATAATGTCGAATCTCATTTGGGGAAGCTCTCAGTGTTTATTTCTCTGTTTATAAGACTCGAACTCGAGATCTTACTTAAAGAAAATCGAGTTTCTTTCACTCGTATCAATAAGTTATTGTTCTCCTTTTTCCCTTTTCCCAAAGCAGAAATTGCCAGTGCCATTTGGTTTTCTCTTCATAAAAATCTCCGAGGCTCTCACAAGGGCGATAAGGGGAACGACATCCTTATGCTCGGAAACCATACACGGCATGTCGTTTTCTTGAGGTGTACATGGATCAAAAAGATGCTAAGAACAATTTCGGTGATCATTTGGAATTTGCCCTCGAATCTTACTAAGAAGTTATAGCCAACTTGGATTTTCGATGCCATAACAGGTCCGCAGCTTACTAAGCTTCGACGTGGGGCACTGGATGGATGTAATCAATTGCACCGAACCTCTTCGTTCTCACCATTTCATCTTCCTAGCAAATCTCAGGTGGACCAAGACTTATCTCCCCTATGCATATTTCGCATTCCCTCCAGCCAGGCACCGAAAGGGGGATTAGGGAAGGGTTACTTTCCCTTTTTCTTTTAATATTTTTTTAGCTAGCATTATTATTATTATTTATTTTAAAAGAATAATTTAATAATTAAAAATTTAAAATTTCAAGTTGTAATCTTGAGTTAAAAAATGATTTAAAGAAAAGGAAGAACTATACTTTCTTATATAGTCTATTATTATCAAATGTATTAAAAAAATCATTATTATTTTTTATGCTTTTTTAATAAAAAAACTTAAAAACTTAAAATTATTCAAAAAAAGGTTAAATTTAAACTATTAAACCGATTTAATTTACTTAATGATTCTAATTTTATAATTTTATAATTTAGTACATTTTAAATTATAAAATATAAAATTTTAAAATTATGTGCATATAATAAAAAATAAAAAAAAATCTCAATTGAATTGAATTAAGAGAAGATTTTTAATATTAAGAGTGATTTTTTTTTTTTTTGGACATTAAAAGTGGATTTGATCTTCACACCTCAAATTAATATGAGAAAACCTTTATAATGAGTTAATAGCCACTGTTTACAAGATCTTTTTCATAAAAAATTCTCTATTTACTAATTCATATTGTAATAGATCGTCCATGTTTTTCCCTTGCATTATTGTAATAGGGGTGGCCACTACCTTAAACTCGATGACTTTGGCTTGGTAAAATTTAAGAGTAGCAGCGTGGCAAACTACAAAATGACTGAGTTGATTCAATTCTGATCGTCTTCTACCATTAATTCCGTAAGGCAAAAACTCTGCAAAATTCCGCCACTAATTGCGGAAATGTTGTTACATTTAGGAATTCTACGTCAACTTGCCCCCCTTTTTTTGGCTTGGTACAGTAAACTTAATCGTCCGTACGCACTTAGGTCTATTATTCCTTTCAGAATGTTCAAACTTAAACGACCGACTTCCAATCCCTGGTCTTGTTTAAAACATCACCCATGCGGATGGAATGTTCTACGTATTCTGAATTTTATAATATAATAATGTGATTTAAATAAATGAATATATTAATTAGATTTATAATTTATTTATACATAAGTTTTATATATTATATTTATATAAGATATTGATCATTTATACTTTTTTTGATAATTAAAATTTATTTATTTATTATCATATTTATTAAAAATGATTATTTTTTATATAAAAAATCCTGATAAATTTCGATAATTGAAAATAAAAAATAAATTATTAAAATTTTATGTAAACCTAGTGTATAGGATTTTTATATACATGAATTAATCCCTCCTCTATTAATTAATAGAGAAAAATATTTATCAATTATGTAAATAATTAGCTAAAAATATTTTAAAACTATATTATTTTAATAAATTTACATTAAGAAAATGAGAAATCATAATTTTGCAAGCAAAGTTGGGACTATTTAATTTTTTTTATGGTACTTTATTAAAAATGAAGTAATTTTGAATGTTTTTCTAACTTTCTTTTTCTTGTAAATCCAGCTAATAAACTCCAATTAATACATAGCTTTTTAAATTTTTTTATATTATCCCCTTATTTATTTTAAAATTTAAATATTATTAGTAGATTTTTAATTTAGTACAATAATATTATAGTAATTATAACATGACATTAAATTGATACGATGTATAAATAAATATAATATCATATATAAACTTTTAAATAAAAATAACAAATTAATTATATGACATATCATATTTTAAAATTATAATATCGCCTACTAATATATATATATATATATATAAATAAGTATATGACTTTTGAATTTAGTATTGCATACGCTAGACACCGGCCATCAGTTTCGTTATACAGACCCAGTTTTTTCAAGTCTTCAATGGCTTCCTTAATTAGGAAAGACTGCAACTAAAGTCAAGGACATTCGCAAGGATTGACTCAACCGTGCCCGTCCAACACTTTCAAAGAAATTATTAATTGTTATTAGTATTTTCTTTCCTCTATAAATTAATAGCTAGCAAAATCTGAAATCACACAACCAAAGCAAAAACATCTCCACATTCAAGCCAATTTATCATGGCTGCCGGAGCTCGTTCACTTTTCTCCTTCTTCTTCCTCCCCCTCCTCCTCTTGCTGTCTCCAGCAGTTTTTGCGGATGACCACTCGAAACACAAAAATTCATCATCACCATTTGATTTCCTCAAGCATCTTCAAGGTTGTCACAAGGGTGACAAAATCAAGGGCATCAATGATCTCAAAAAGTACCTAGAACATTTCGGTTACTTGAGCTACAACTATTCCCATGCCAACGACGACGATTTTGACGATATCCTGGAGTCTGCCCTCAAAACCTACCAGATCAATTACCATATCAAGGCCACCGGAGTTCTAGATGCTGCAACAGTGTCGAAGATGGGGATGCCTCGATGTGGGGTGGCGGATATCATCAACGGAACCAGTAGGATGCGGGCCGCCAAGAAGAGGCATCATCACGGCCCTGGCTCTAGCCCTTTTCACACCGTCTCACACTATTCCTTCTTCCCAGGAAACCTTCGGTGGCCGCCTTCCAAGTACCACCTCACCTACGCGTTACGCCCGGGGACCCGAGCTGATGCCATAGAACCCGTCGTGAGAGCGTTTAGGACTTGGGCTGCTAACACACACTTTACCTTTACGCAGACTCAGGACTATCAAAATGCGGATTTAAAGGTCAGTTTTGCCCGCCGTGATCATGGAGATGGGAACCCATTCGATGGCCCTGGTGGGACTCTAGCTCATGCATTTGCACCGACTAACGGGCGGTTCCACTATGACGCGGATGAGCCATGGTCAGTAGGTGTTGCCCAAGATGCATTCCACTTGGAGACAGTGGCTATACATGAGATCGGGCACCTTTTGGGGCTGGGTCACAGCTCTGTTGAAGGAGCCATCATGTTCCCCTCCATTCCTCCAGGAGTGTCCAGGGGTTTGCATCAAGATGATATTCAAGGGATCAGGGCTTTATACAACAATTGAGGAATATTAGTGTGTGTGCGTTGTTTCTTTTTTCTCTTTTTTTTTTTTTTTTTTTTAATTTCTTTTTTTGAATAAGGGAGAAGGGATACATATGATCTTATCTCTAATCATACAATAAGTGAAATCAGTATGTGAGAATTATTATATTAACTAGGGCAAAGTTACTGAGGCATATAGAAAAAGAAGTTTGAGAGGGAAAACATCGAGTCAAATCTTTTGTCATAGTGACAGTTTTTTTATATATATACTTATATCTTTTAAGCCAGTTTTATGTGACCGGTTATATATGTTGTTAGGAATAACCTTGCAAAGCCATTGCCGTGCATGAACATGGACTCAATCGTCGAGCCCCAAATGTCCTTCCAATAAAAGAAAGAAACAGAAATTAGTGAAAGAAGGAAACCAACAGATGAACTCGAGCAAGAGTGAGAATGTAAGATCCAAAAAAGGATGCTGGGTGCACCTTATATAAAAGAAAGAAACAGAAAAAGAAAAAGAAAAAAATGGAAACAGCAGAGATGAACTCAATCAAATTGACATTCAAAATATGCAGGATTCAATTTCCAAATATGACTTTCCCTTCTTCTCATTGTAATACAATCAATTTGATTATTTTAGAATCAGTCATCAATCACATTAGTGATTGATTTCCCAATACCTTAACACCAAATTGATACTTCATAAATGAAATTAAGAAAGAAAAATATATATACACAATCAATTTGATTATTCAAAATTTAAAATCAATCAATTACCTTAATTAGTATTATTTAGAATCAATCAATCACCACAGTAGTGATTTATTTTCTTGATCTCTTAACAGATTAATACTCTATAAATGAAATTAAGAATAGATGATCAACTCAATCTCTCCCATGCACTGCTTCTAGGGTTGAGAGCAGTTGCAACAAGTTTTCCTCCCTAGGTTTTCTTTCTAGCATAGAAGTTCCTTTATCCCTTCTTTCTTCTTACCCCTCCCTTCCTCCTCTTGATCTACCTCCTTCCTCTTGTCACTGTCTTGCTTTGGAAACTCCAACCCAAGGGACCACATGGCAACGACTTTTTGGGTTTTCTAGGTTTTACATCTATTGATTTTCGAAGGCTACAATTAGAATTGATCTTGTCGATGAAGTGGGTTTCTCCTATTTAACGGGCAAGAATCTTGCTTTGGTGCATCTACTCGGATGGGATCTTGGCAGGGGTTGAATTTAACGAATTTGGTTCACATCAGTTCCTGATTAGCTAAACAATTGCCGAAGGAAAAGGATGCTGTTAGTAAGGTCGGCTAAGGTCTACATGGGAAGCTTGATTTTCAAGCTGGCAAAGGGGCTCTAGTTCCCTTAATGAGTTTTGACAGCATGGGTTTGAAGAGGATCGGCAAAGATGGAAACATGATTGGGAGTATATGGAGGCGACTGAGGGGCCTTCTGCTTATTAGGAAAAGGCCCATACCCCTCTTAGTGTTCTTTTTTAAGAACAAGTAGGGCAACAACTTGTGGGTTGGGGACTGTTTGTTGCCAAAATCCCTTGCTCTCCCCAAGAAACTGATTTAATAGGTGAGGATGTCTAGTAGTTCTTAATGCTCATAGTAACTCTTTCAACATTAGTAACTTCATTTAACCTACAATGATTATAAATTCAATTCCTAGTTGCAAATGGCTCTCTTTACTTAATTATCTATATTCGTCATGGACATAATTTAAATCTGTTATTAGTGTTGTAGGTCATGCTTCCGGTTTTACTGTTAAGTTATTTTGATTTTAACTATATGCTATGAGATGTAAATTTTTTGTAATTTCTTATTGCTTAATATATTTTTCTATTTTTCATAAAAAAAAAAAAAAAGATGATCAACTTAGGTAAAGTGACTCTAGATATCATTTCAGGTACTATAAAGAGACCTGGCAAACAGGCGGGTTAGGGTCGGGTTAGGGTCGGGTCAGAACGAGTAACGGGTCAAAACGGGTTGGGTTAAAACTGGTCACGGGTCAATGAATGTAGATCCTAACCCGCCCATCATGGGTCAAAGGGTTGACCCAATTAAATTTTTTTTCTTTTTTTTTTCTATAATTTGTACCTATTATCATTCAAAAAAAATTATTCAAAAGATTTTTTTTAAAAAAATTCAATATCTTATAAAAATAATTTTTTTTATTAATTTAATATATACATATTTATAGTTTCTCCCAATTAAATTTTTTTTCTTTTTTTTTTCTATAATTTGTACCTATTATCATTCAAAAAAAATTATTCAAAAGATTTTTTTAAAAAAAATTCAATATCTTATAAAAATAATTTTTTTTATTAATTTAATATATACATATTTATAGTTTCTCAGAATTACCTTCTTTATTTCCCTTCAAAGAACAGCGCT